CAAAAGCAGGTAAAGACACCACAAAAAAAGAAAATTACAGACCAATATCCCTCATGAACATAGACCCAAAAATCCTCAACAAAATTAGAATTCAACAGCATATCAAAAAAAATAATTCACCATGACCAAGTGGGATTCATACCAGCTATGCAGGGATGATTCAGCATTAGAAAGTCAATCAACATAATCCACCACATAAATAAAAGACAAGAACCACATGATCTTATCAATAGATGCAGAAAAGGCATTTGACAAAGTCCAACACCCATTCATGATAAAAGAAAAAAAAAACTTTCAACACAATAGGAATAGAAGGGAAATTTATGAACATAATTAAGGGCATTTATACAAAGCCAACAGCCAACATCATCCTGAACAGAGACTTTGAAAGCATTCCCCTTGAGAACAGGAACCAGACAAGGATGCCTTCTATCACCATTCTTATTCAACATTGTGCTGGAGGTCCTAGCCAGAGCAATTAGGCTAGAAAAAGAAAGAAAGGACACCAAAAAAGAGAACTTCGAAGAGGAAATCACCAAATTAATACTATTTACAATAGCCCCCAAGAAGATAAAATACTTAGGAATAAATCTATCCAGAGACGTAAAAGATCTATACGATAAAAACTGCGAGACACTACTGCAAGAAACCAAGAGAGTCCTGCATAAGTGGAAGAACATACCTTGCTCATGGAAAGGAAGACTCAACATTGTGAAAATGTCTATTCTACCCAAAGCAATCTACAGATACAATACAATCCCGATCCAAATTCCACTGGCATTTTTTAATGAGATGGAGAAACAAATCACCAGCTTCATATGGAAAGGGAAGAGGCCCCAGATAAGTAAAGCATTACTCAAGAAGAACAAAGTGGGAGGCCTCACACTACCTGATTTTAGAACCTATTGTACTACCACGGTAGTCAAAACAGCCTGGTACTGTTACAACAGATACATAGACCAATGGAACAGAATTGAGAATCCAGATGTAAACTCATCCACCTATGAGCATTTGATATTTGACAAAGGCCCGAAGTCCGTTAAATGGGGAAAAGACAGTCTCTTTAACAAATGATGCTGGCATAACTGGATATCTATCTGCAAAAAAACTGAAACAAAACTCATACCTCATATCATGCATAAAAAGTAACCCAAAATGGATCAAAGACCTAAATATAAAATCTAAAATGATAAAGATCACAGAAGAAAAAATAGGGACAACGCTAGGAGCCCTAATACCTGACATAAACAGAATACAAACCGTAAGTAACAATGCACAAACACCAGAGAAGAAACTAGATAACTGGAAGCTCCTAAAAATCAAACACTTATGCTCATAAAAAGACTTCACCAGAAGAGTAAAAAGACAACCTACAGACTGGGGAAAAAAAAAAAAAACTGGCTACAACAAATCCGATCAGCGTCTAATCTCTAAAATCTACAAGATACTGCAAAACCTCAACAACAAAAAGACAACACAATTAAAAACTGGGCAGAGGGGGCTCTAGCAGCATGCTTGTCTGTTTGCCCACATTTGTCTGTTCTGTGATGTTTCCTTGGACTCGGGCAGACATGGCTGTGGCAGCATGCATGTCCCTTTTCCCACTTTTGCCCATTTGAATATATGCCGAAAAAAACTTTCTTTTCGCTTTACTAAACTTTGTGATGTTCCCCTACAACAGTTAATGGCGTAGTCATCAAGGATTCTGAAGCTATGAATCCAGTCGACCTCAAGGAGACCTGGACTGTGGAGCAGAAGCTAGCAAAGAGAAGTCCTATCTTCTGGACCCACGTGTTCCCACTCCATGTCCCTTCGACACAGACGGGTTTTGTCATCTGCAGATAAGTTTTTACTTTGCTAGTTTGCTGAAAACATTTCACCAAAATATCTCAACAAAAAGATGAACTATATTGGACTTGCGAAAAAGACTGTGACTAGACTCAATCAAGATTTTCAGAACTCTTACGCAGAAGCTGACATGTTCACAGACTGCGGCTGATCCAGAACCACGTGGAACAAAAATTAACTACATAAGATTGAGTAAACGAAAGGAAACTATGGTTTTTTAATGTGGGAATATTGCTGATGTTTTGAGGTCCTAATTTCTGGAGATAAGAAATCATTTTCCTTTCTCTGGAATTATCTAACAGATGGGTTTAGATATTGTAACTCTTGAGTTAGAAGTTCTTGTTGGTAAACTTAACAAAGTTGTAAATATCATAATCAGAGAAGTGTCTGAAATTTGAGATATGATTTTGCAAAATAGAATAGCATTAGATTTCCTATTAGTTCTCCCAAGAAACAGTTTGTGCCTTAATAGGTAAATGTTGCTGTATTTATATTAATACTCAATCTGAGGTTTTGCAGAATATAGTTGCTGTTGAGGCATATGCAGAGCAGTTACTGATGCTGCTTATGTAGAGACAAACACCTCATGAGATTTGTTTCCTTGGTTCAAAGACCTTATGGTCATGATTTCATTGGTTACTTCAGACAATTGGCCTAATATAATTGGTAGTGTTTCTGTTTTACTTCCTAGTTTGCTGTATGGTACCTGGGATCTTAAAAACCAGATTATGCCCAATTACCATTTATTGAACATTTTCGATAAAAAATTCTATAGCAAGATCATGAT